AAATAAAATCTGTAGGTATGATTCTAACAAAACATGTACAAGATCTATATGCTGGAAACAACAAAGCACTCATGAATGAAATCAAAGACCTAAATAAATGGACAGACACATTGTGTTTATGGTTGGCAAGATTGAACACATGAAAAATTGTCAATTCTCTCCAGATTTATCTATAAGTGTAATGCAATTTTAATTCAAATATAAGAATGTTTTTTATAGAAATAGATATGCTTATTCTAAAATCTATGCAGGAAGATATGGGACCTAGAATAGCTAAAACAATCTTCAAAAAGAAGAATAAAGTGGGAGGAACCACTCTACTTGATAGTAAAACCTCTATATGACTATGATAATTAATACCATGTGTTGTTGGTGTAGGACAGACATATAGATTAATGGAACAAAATAGAGAAACCAGAAATAGACCCACACAAATATGCTGAACTGATGTTTGACTAAAGTGTAAAAGTAATCCGATGGCAGGAAGATATTTTTTCAACCAATTATGCTGGAGCAATTGGATATCTCTAGGTAAAAAAGTGAACCTTGACCGCAGTCTCACATCTTGTGTAAAAACTAACCCAAAATGGATCATAGATTTAAAGGAAAGACTTAAGGGGTGCCTAGCTGGCTCTGTCAGAAGGCCATGGAACTCTTGATCTTAGCATTGTGAGTTGAGTGTAGAGATTAAATAAATCAACTTTTAAAAAAATGTAAAACTTAAAACTATAACACTTTCAGGACAAAAACAGAGGAGAAAATGTTTGTGATCTAGGGCTGGGCAAAGAGTTCTTAGACTTAACATTTAAACACAATTAATAAATAGAAAAACTAATAAATTGAACCTCATCCAGCTTAAAAACTTCTGTTCTATGGGCGCCCATGGGAAGAGGATGAAAAGAGAAACTATGGACTGGGAGAAAATACTTGCAAATCGCATATGCAACCAAGGACTAGTATCTAGCATATATAAAGAACTATCAAATTTCAACTGTAAAAAACATTCCAACGACAAAAATGTACAAAATACATGACGAGACTGTTCACTAAAGAGGATACATAGATGTCAAATAACTATATGAAAAGATGAGAGATATCATTAGATATTAGGGAAATGTAAAATAAAACCACAATGGGATATCTCCATATACCTATCCAAATGGCTAAAATTAAAAGTAATGACAACAACAAATGCTGACCAGAATGCAGAGAAACTAGATTTCTCACCCACTCCTGGTGTGAGTATCAATAGAACAGCCACTCTGAAAAGCATTCAGCCCTCCTTACAAAATTAAACATCACTCAACATACAACCCAAATAAATAGACTGTTGAGCTTTTATCCCTGGGAAATGAAAACTTATGTTCATGCAAAATCCGTAGACATATGTTCATAGCAGCTTGATGTGTTACTGCCAAAATTTGGGATCAACCCAGATGTCCTATAATGGATGAATGGCTAAACAAGCTGTGATATGGGGCACCTGGGTGGCTCAATGAGTTAAGAGTCTGAGTCTTGATTTTGGCTCAGGTTATGATCTTACAGGTTTGTGAAATGGAGCCCTGCATTGCACTATGCTGACCATGCAGAGACTGCTTGGGATTTTCTCTCTCCCTCTCTCTATCTCAAAATAAATAAGTTAATTTAAAAAACAAGCTGTGATACATCTAGACCATGGAATATTAATCAGCCACAAAAAAAAAGAATGAATTATTTATAAATGTAAGATCTTGGATGGATCTCCAGAGAATTATGGTAAGTAAAAGAAGCCAGTCCCAAAAGGTTACATACTGTATGAGTCCATGTAATATTCCTAAATAACAAGCTTACAGAGATGGAGAACAGTTTAGTGGTTGCCAGGGAGTAGGAAGATGGAGAGAGAAGCTGGGTAAGACTGTAAAAGAATAATCCTGACGAGGGGGTACCTGGGTGGCTCGGTCACTTAAGCTTCCGAGTTTGCCTCAGGTCATGATCTTGTGGTTTTCAAATTTGAGCCCTGCATGAGGCTCTCTTCTGTCAGCACAGACCCTGCTTCTGATCTTCTGTCACCCTCTCTTCTCCACCCCTAACACTTGCACTTGCTCTTGCTCTCTCTCAAAAATAAATAAAAATTAAAAAAAAGAATAACCCTGGGGATCCTTGTGGTGCTGGCATTGTTCAGTATTCTGGCTGTGGTGGTGGCCATATGAACCAACACATGGGATCAAATCTCATAGAAGTATACACACAGACAAATGGGTGCATGTAAAACGGGTACAATTGGACTAAGGTGGATGGATTGTATCAATGTCAATTTCCTGTTTGTGATATCATACTGCAGTTATGTGTCATGTTACCATTGGGGGTGAAGGGTATTTTGGATCTTTCTGAATTATTTCTTACAATTGTAAATCTGTAATTATCAACAAATAAAAAGTTTTAAGAAATGAGTATGAGATGATATATGCTCTGATGCTCATTTAATAGGGGAAAAAATAAGATGGACATAATCCTGTTTAGTTTGGATAAGACCTGCTATGAAGTATAGGTTTGAACTCACCCAAACTGGAGTTCCCAACTCACAAATCAAGACAAATTAATACAGGGATTACTAGCAGTTATACTAATGATGAAGAATCTTTCAGAAAATTCTGGCAGCACCCATATAGAGTTGCCAAGAGTCCAAGAGATCCTGAACAAAAATTGCCCAGTTGAAAAGAATCATTTGATCACAATAAATTGTTTTAAGCTTCGAAAAATTGTTTTAAGCTTTTAAGCCACTAGGTTTTGGGATGGTTTATTATGCAGTAATCAGAATATTACATCAAGCACTGGGACCGAGTGGTTTTAACCAAATGGGAAGGAGTTTTAAATTTCAGTGAGTCTATTGATTTTCAATGCTAGGATCCATCACTGTCCCAGGCTGTTGTTCCTGAAACCCATTTTCCTGAATACATAGTCTCCAGGCATGTTGGGAGTGATGATGGATGGGGTTGGGGGATGCAGATTCAAAGGAAATTGAACAACCAGTCCTTGCCTTGAAAAACTCAGCCTAGTGAGACAAAACATCAGCACATTAAATGGCATGAGAACAGTTATAAGGCAACAAATCTGCAAGTTCAAACTAATATACTACAGCACAAATTGAATGCATGTGGCAATGTATGGCTACCCAAACAGCAGGATAGAGCTAGACATTTTGGACCCTGAAGGCAACATTTTAGAAAGGGCCCCGTCTCCTTTGTTAACAGTGAAATAAACATCCCCAGCAATGCAGGAGCTAGTTGGATGATATTAACACTTCTGAAGAAAGAAAAGGGAAGTAATTTCCAAGGACAGTTATTTTTGTTTTAATTTTCCTTTGTTCTGTGTTCCTGATATGTGATTTGGGGGCAAGCTACAATTTTCCTGAGCATCCACTTCCTCATCTATAGGCTGGAGATAGCAATCAGAGAGTAGTGGGTTGAAAGTCAGAAAACCTGCCTTGGAATCTCAGATCTATCATTTACTAGCTCCATGACCCTGGATACATCACCTCCCTCCAGTCTATCAATTTCCTCTTCTGTGACATGAAGATGTTGAGCTTAATGGTCCAGAAGATCCCTACCAACTCTCATACTCAGCCACAGACAGTTCGCAGTTTGTTGTGAGGGTTTAAAAAGTAAGGATGATGAATATGGAAGTAGTTTGTAAGCCATAAAGATATACAGATGCTAGAAATATCAATATGATCCAGTACAGCACTGGGTGTTGTATGTAAGCAATGAATCATGGGAATCTAACCCTAAAACCAAGAGCACATTGTATACACTGTATGTTAGCTAACTTGACAATAAATTATACTAAGAAAAATAAAGTCATATCCCAGTTAAAAAAAAAAAAAAAAAGCCCTGTAGCTTTCCTCCAAATTTGGGGGCTTAACATATAAATGGGTACTGTCTGTCAAGGCAGAGCATTTCGGCCCTTACAGGATTCTTACAATTCTTTGTAACTACCACTCATCAAATAAACATAACTTTGCCCTAGTCTGTCTCAGCCTCAGGAAGGCATCAGCAGTGCTATTGTGATTTCAAGGCTGGATTCTTGGCCCAGCTCAGAATCAGAACTGTAGGAGCTGCGAGAACAGGGGTGGCTGTGGTGGACCACTCCAACTTTTTTTCAAGACCCTTAACAATTAGTAAAGGCCCTTTTCATGGGGTGTTGGGGCCCTCTTTGTTGGGAGAAAGCAAATTTCTAAATCGTCCCCTCTCCTTCCACACATAAACCCATTTCCACCCTGCTTTTAAGGACATCCAACACTTTTCTAGCCCCAGTGTGGATTTGGGAAACGCCCCGAAATGATAAGCAGCTTGCTGGGGCATAATTTGCGAGGCCAGCTCCTCCGGTGTCCTGCGCACCAGCCCCGGACCCTACCAGGTGCACCCAGAGGGTCCCTGTGCGGGAGGAGAAGAGTTGCGGGCTTCCAGACAGGGAAGGTGGAGAGTAGCCTGGGTCTTCGGGGCGGGCGCGGGTGGTGGGGAGCTCCTAGGTGCATTTTGGCGCAGAGGGGGAGGAGGGCCCGGAGGAGAGGTGCGGTCCCTTTAAGACCCCTACGCTTGCTTAGCCAGAGGAGGGGGGTGCAGTGGGGGCGCTGCGTGATGGGAAAGTCGCCGGCTCAGCCTCACACTTTCTCCCGATTTCTTAACTTTCGGCTGGGGGAACAGAAGTAGAGCCGCCGGGCGGGGGCGGAGACGGGGTGCGGGCTTGCAGCGGCTGCGTGCCCGCGGACTTCCCGCCTGCGCCAGGCGGCCGGCCTCTCAGGCCAAGTGGGGAGCGGGCGGCAGGCGGCGGGCGGGCAGGTGGCCCCGGGCCGCCGCGCCCGCGCCTTGGATCTGCCCCCGGGAACCGAGCGAGCCTCTGCTCGTGGTGTGAGGGCGGTGATGTTTTTCCTCCCACCCACTTTTGAGTCTCCCCTCCCCCCTCGCGCGCACTCTAGCTCTCGCCACAACCTGCGAGCCCCAGACTTCGGAGGAGCACCCCGGGGAGCTCGGAGCGCGTGCACGCGTGGAAGACGGAGCAGGCCAGTGGCCAGGTCAGTGAGCAGTGCCCGATGCCCACTTCCCTTACCTTCCTTTCCAGCCTTTGCACAGGTGGGGTGTCTCCTGTTGGCCAGAGCCGCCCCTGGACGTTCCTCCAGGGCGCCCTGAGCTCCCCCAACCTGCCACCCCACTGGGCTCTCGGGTCCAGCTGCTAGCGGCCGGGGTTGGAGGTGGGAACCCAGGCACCCGACCATGGCAGGTTAGGGACTCTGGATTTGAACTCACCACTTGCCACTCCCCGCGGGGCCTGCATTTCTTTCTCCAGGCTCTGGCGCTTCAGAGGCCACTTGGGTAGCCACCTAAAGGGTTCTGCAGTCCCCTTAGTTATCGCCTGAGTCCCGAGCCTTCTTTCTCCATTGCTGAAGTGCCCTGGACCAGCGGGTGATTAATAAGTGCTAAAGTTAATGAAACAGGGCTGACAGGCGAGAGGCTCCTCTGTCCTCTGGACATCTGTCTTATTTTCCGGCCCAGACCACTGGGGTCAGAGCTTGAGACGGAAGGCTCAGGAAGCAACGCAGCGCTGCCAGAGTTTAGGGCCTGGAAAGCCTGCCTTCCAGACCCTCCCGACCCTGCCACTAACTCTATGGGAATGGGCAGTTGAATTCTCTGGGATCCAGGGTGCCCATTTGGGAGGTGGAGTTGTTGTAGAGAATAAAATGAAATGATGGATAGCAAGGTGTTTTGCAAGCCAAATGCAAGGCATTGTTTGTCAGTCGTAAGCAGCAGCGAAGGCATTGCCTCTGGCTGAGAGAGACACCCTGGGCTAGAAGTGCCATTTGTTCAGCGGCAACCCACCAGCAGCGAACGGAGTTTTTTCTTGTTGGGTGGTAGAGTGGGAAGAGGATTTCAGCTGATTGACGTGGGCCCTGAGACCGCAGTGTCTTCTTGTTGTTTGTCAGAAAGAGAATTGCTACCCTGGGGGCTGTCCCAGGAAGACAGTGAATGTGAGATTACGAGGTCAGTCAAGCCTCTCTGGCGGATTAAAGAGACACTGTGGGGTGTGAAGAACTGGCTGATATGCTCATCCCTTAGCCTTCCTTTGGGAATGTCTCTTTGGTTCTCTTCTACCCAGGAGACCTCTTCTGAGAATGCCCGGACTTATGACACTTGATGGCTCAAATTGCCTCGCAGTTTTCAGCTGGGCAAGGAGCCTCCAGTCCCTTCGCTTGATGTAAATGAACTATGTGAATGCTTGTTTCATGGAGGCACCTTCATGGATATACTTCATTAGATTCTGACAAGTTTCTTGTTTTCTTGTAAAACCTCTTCCTTCTGCCACCTCCCCAGTGATAGTGGTGGAATTTTGTTTTCTTCCTGGCTTTTTTGACCGGGGCCTGGATACCCCAAAACGTGTGTCTGTGGCTACATTTCGAAGTAACCTGGAAAAGAGTCCGTGCAAGTTCAATGGCACAACAGCCTGTGTGAAGCAGAGAGTTAATGCAGAAATAACTCCAGTTAACTGGGTCAAAGTATAATTTGAAAAATTAAGGGCAGTTTGGCTCTTTGCAAGTGTAAGAGTCGGCATGTTTGCTGAGCATGTTTGCTTAGGTTTATTGCTGCAGTGCCCAAAAATGTCTTGAACCACCTTCCTTCTCCCCCCCCCCCCAAAAGGAAAAGTTAAAGGGATAAAGAGAAATTGAACGGGGAGGAGTCCTGGGGAAGGAATTCTTCTCAGTTTATGTTTCTGCACAGAATACAAAGACAGGGCTTCAGATCTTGTAAATCAAAAGTGAATATTTATAAAGCGATTCATTTTCTGATGTTCTCCATCACAGCCTGGGAGGCCACACAGATGACAGGAACGCCAAAAGAGATTAATTGCTCTCTCGTCACCAACTTTTCTATTTGCTCATAACATTAGTCAGGACCCAAGAAAAGCAAAAAATTCTGAGAGCTGTTTTCTTGCCAGCTTGAGTTATGAAGCAATGCTACTGTTCACCTCATCGTCCCTGCCCCCCCCCATCGTACAAGAAAAATAACCCTGTTGGTTCTTGCATGGGGTGACCCGAAAAGTGTGGTTTCAAAACTACCCCCTGAGATCCATACATGATTGTGATAAATTGGATTTTAGGGTTAGAAAATCTCATTTGAAGGCTTGGGGGATAAGCTTATTAAAGTAGGCTCAGAAAGAACTTCGCTGGGGCGGGCAGCTGTGTTAAACTGTTCATGGAAATGATTTGCTTCGGAGGACAGAGACGAGTGATTGAAGCTGGACCACAAGTTCATAGAAGGGACCAAGACATCAGAATCGAGGCCTTTGGGAGGGTAGGAACATGTCCACGATCAGTTCTTCTTCCATTACGTAGCCATAATTTCAAGCAATGGGTTTCAAATTACCCAGATAAGTTCATAGCATTTGAAGTATCCACATCACGGCCCAAAGACCATTGCGTTCTCCAGAATGATCATGCTGCCAGCTCTTTATACTCAGTGTTTAGGTTGGCCTCTCAGAAAAGATCAATGCGCTCAGTTCCCATTCAGGGTTAACCCCAGATTAAAATGTGGGTTTTTTTTTTTGAACATTTAAATATGTTCAGATCATCCATTTGAGGGGTTTTACAAACTCTAACGTCTGTGGAAATGACCTGTGACTAGATCAGAGCTCTACCAAACGTTCTGTGTTCTAAAGCTCAAAAGGTTTAAGAATTTCCACCCCTCAGACTAGAAATGCAAGTCGCCTACTTTTAAGAATTGTAGTTGCTCTGATGGTCTTCGGCACGGTGGGTCAAGGTAAACATGTTACCTATTTAAATTGGTCTAATTTCTTTTGAAGATGGCCCATGATAAAGTTCCATTTCACAATGGACTTCATGTGAGACCATTATGTCTGAATTGTTAAGGTGTTTAATTGCATCCATTGGCTAATTACATCTGTCTTTTCCAACATAAGCAGCCAGACTGAAGATCTTTATAGATCTCATGGAACACACAGGAAAAGCATTAACCAATTTATGCCTGATCCCTGAAGGATTAATAGTAACAGTAGTCTTGAAGCTGAAATGAGTTAACTTTCATTTCAGAAATGGTTTGGGTCCCGTGCCTATTATTTTTATCTTGGTAGCCAAAGGAGCTGTTTTGCAAACCCATTTCCCTTTTCTCCCAAAGAAAATCTCTTGAGAAATCATCTCTGATTCTGTTAGAAGGATAATTTCAAAATTTATTATTTTTTTCCTATGACTTGCCTATAAGGATTTTTAGCCTTAGCATCGGACAGGAATGCATGTTCATCTGCTTGAATTTCCCTCCATGATCTTTGCAAGACAAGAGAGGCAAGTTCTCTTTCTTAAGCAGGAAAACAATGCTTACACTTCCATAAATTCTCCAGGATTTCCCCCCCTAACACGTTAAAAGCTTAAGCATTAGTGATCTCCACCAGTTTCAGAGAATCTAAGTCTTTTTTTCTGTTTTCTTCCCAGGAGCTTGAATATACCTGGCCCTGACAGCTTTGAGTGGCCTCTTGCAGTGACCAACATGAGAAAAAAGTGGAAAGTTGGGGGCACGAAGTACATCTTTTCCTTGTTGCTGTTCTTTCTTTTCCTAGAAGGAAGCAAAACAGAGCAACCAAAACGTGAGTGTCTTCTGTTTAAAAAACAAGATGCTTTTTTGTAATCTCTTTGAAAATGTGGTTATAATCTGTTGGGATTGTGGTTTACCCTACCATGGCCATACCATTATTCTGTTACTGGTTTATGCGGGAGTTGATAAAACAATGAAAGCTTTGAATCGGGCCAACTTAATTTAGGACTGTTTTTTCTGATTATCATATAGTTTTCATCTCATAGAACACATGACACATTAGCCTATTTTCCTTTTCCTGTTCTAAACTGTACAAATCTCATTCCATTTTACGTAACTCTAGAAATATCTGACATATGAGCTGGATTTTTTCCCAAATTTCAGACTCTTCAGCAAAGGTTTTCAGTTTATGAAAAAGAATAACACAGAAAAGGAAAAAAAAAAGAAAAGAAAAAAGAAAAAGTAAAGCAGGCCCTGCCTATTCCCTTATTTTCCAAAAAACGGAAAAGGAAAAAACCCTTAACATGAGCTGGATTCAGATGAAAAATCCTTTGAGGAAATTGAGATTCCAAGGACCATGAGCAAATTGGATGCCGTTTATTGAAAGAACGTCCCCGCAAAGCCAGGGAATATTTCTAGAAAGTCAGCGATCCGTGTGATGGGCTAACACATTGGAGAAAGCGGAGTGGCAGGAAGGGGGGATAATTAACCCTCCTTGCCTCCACGTTTGGGAGATTTATGCATAACCATCGGCATCCCTGCTCTTGTTACAAGCTTTCTGCCGAAAGTATGAGCCTCACCTTCTTTGGGCCACTTACAGCCCTCTCTGCAGTGACCCTGGCTCTAAATGTGAAGGAAAAGCCTTAGCTCCAGTTCCCCTTTTTGCCCGCATCAACAGAGGCACAAAATGGAGCTGGTCCAATAGGGGCATTCTCTGCTCCACTGAACTTATTCATGAGAAGGAACCATGAAAATCTTCATGGTAGGAGCTGAAGTAGCATCTGAAGCCCATCACTTTAACATTTATCTCCTTTATCAGCGGAAGTTTCATAGATCAGGCATGACACTTGCTGACAGGGAGGACAGTGCCGGATCTATTCGAGCACTGTGTGCTTCTGCCTCACTATGATTTTCATAGTAATCTCAGTCTTCTTCCCGAGGGAAGTGGTGCTTTTGATTAGGCTTCTGAGCATGAGTGGCCTGGAGATGACCTTGCATGATGGGGACACAAGAGGAAGTTTAGCAGGACACAGTACCAGCAAGGAAACTTGGATTGGCCTCTCTCCTGTTTTCCTCCAATGACCTCCTTCTCCTTCCGGAAAGCCCTCCTTTAAGTGGACATGATGGAAAAGTTGTCGATCCATTCTCAGCTCCACTTATAACTGAGCTGTACCTAAAATCCTTGCTCTCTTCGGAAGAAACTTCCCTTGTGCTTGCTTCATCAGCACATATACTAAAATCAGAAGAAACTTCCCTTATGACCTGTTAGTGATGGTGTCATAGGGAAAGCTTGCAACTCTTAGAAGACCATCTCTTCTGGGAGGTCTTCCATAGATATGAAGAGCTGAGGAATACTGTCCATGCAACTTGGATCTTAATGGACAAACTGAGGAAAAATAGGACTTAAAAAAATATTTATAGGCTCCCAGACTTTCATTTTATAACATTTCCTGCTGCCTGTGAATTTGTCCCAAGTCTTTTGGTTATTTAGTTGGGGTGAAAAGGATTATATAGTGGATGGCCCAGGGCATCAGTTCTGTTCTGGTGTTTCAGGTTTACTGTCAGATGATAAGGCTAAGGTCATTCCCTGAATGAGCCACTCAGCACCATTCTGTGTGGCCACACCCACTGTCTCAAGGACATGTTCAAAGTTATCTCCACTAAAGGGGGATCTCAAGGCATATGCCCTTTGTATGTTGCCTCCATACATACAGATGCGCACGCACACACACACACACACACACACACACACACAAACACACACAAGGTATACACGGTGATTTATATTGAAGCTCCAACAATGAGAAGGCAGAAGCAGTGGAAATGTCAGTCCATTGGGGAATGGTCATATAAACGATCTATGTACTGCTCTATTATGCTAGTCCTGAAAACATTGCCTATTACAAATTTGATGACCCTAGGCAGTGCTTAATTAACTTATTTTGAAATTTCCTAAATTTTTAAAAACTAGTAATACTCATAGTACAAAACAATATGAAAGCACCTGAGCCTTACAAAGAATGTGTGTCCCTCAGCTACCAACCAGGAGCAGCCATTACTAATAGTTTGCTATGTGTTCTTCCAAACTCTTTTTCTCTATGTTGTAAAAACCTACATAAGTGCAGATTTTTTTTTCTTTCACGCACATGGGCTATTGTATGTGTTTTTCTGTAACCTTTATTCAGAAGTGTGCCTAGGACATCCTTTAATGTCAGCACATTGCAATATAACAGTACTGTATTCTTTCTAAAGCTAGCAGTTTCCAGTTGTGTAAGTGTGCCATGGTTTACTTAACCAGTCACTAGTCGTAGATATTTAGATTGTCTCCAGTTTTTAGTATTACAACTAAGGCATAAACGAACACCTCCACGCATGTAGGCAAATATTTGTGGTAAATACTTTGGTCAAAGTGGATATTCGGTGTTAATCTTGGTAAGCACAGTCAAATTATCCTTCAAAGAATTTGTATCAGTTTATACTCCCACCATCTATGTATGAGAGTCCTTTGCTAATTGTTTTACTACAAGTTATAATGACTCTTTGTATCTTGGAGCCAATTTAATAGGGGAAATCATACTTCAGGTTTGCTGTGATAATTTCTTATTACTGGAGTATCTTTGCAATTATTGTTTTTTAATTTTTAATGTTTATTTTTGAGAGAGAGACAAAGAGCAAGCAAGGGAGGGACAGAGAGAGAGGGAGGCACAGAATCTGGAGCAGGCTCCAGGCTCTGAACTATCAGCACAGAGCCAGATGCGGGGCTGGAACTCACGAACCATGAGATCATGACCTGAGTCGAAGTTGGACACTTAACCGACTGAGCCACCCAGGCACCCATCTTTGCAGTGATTTTTAATCTAATTTTATTTCTGGAGTGCATTGCCTACTTTGAAGTTAGGTTGCTTGTCTTAGTGGTCTGTCAAAGCATATGTATTAACATTTTGTTATTGCAAATCTTGTTCTTGACCTTTTGTGTTTAAAATATTATTTTCCCCTTTTGCCATTTGCTTTAAACTTTTTAAGTTGGATCTTCCCATATGGAAGTTTTAAATTTTTGTGTAGTCAGATCTGCTATTTATTTCCTTTATGGCTTCTGAATTTCTTCTTGTTTCTCAGGAGACCCTTACCACTCATTCTATTATATTTTCTTCTTCTGCTTCCATAATTTGGGATTTTTCTCATAGTTCTCTATTTCATCTGAAATTTATCTTTATGTATAGTGTGCAATGGGGAGCTAATTTTTCTTACCTATGGGTGGTTGGTTCATGACTTATTTTTGCTCATCTTTTTGCTTCTGTTTATTCTGGAGTTTCCACAATTGGCAAGTATTACTTTAAAATTGTTTTTAATGTTTATTTATTTTTGAGAGAGAAAAAGACAGAGTATGAGCAGGGGAGGGGCAGAGAGAGAGAGGGAGACACAGAATCTGAAGCAAGCTTCAGGCTCTGAGCTGTCAGCACAGAGCCTGATGTGGGGCTCAAACCCACATACTGTGAGATCATGACCCAAGCCAAAGTCAGTTGCTTAACTGACTTAGTTACTCATGCACCCCTAGTATTACTTTTAAAACAGGGATAAAAAATCTGCTGAAACTCCAGGAAATGTATAATGTAAGGGTAATAAATAAACCATCACATCTCTTCTTGCTGCATGATGCCATTTTACAGAAGGAAGCCAAGGTTTTTTGATCCTTCGTGGGTTGATTTCAATGTAAGTTTCTAGGACAATGCAGATGCTGTGCAGCCTGTTTGCCCCCTCATCTTGGACATCAGGGTGTTGGGGGGGGGGCGGCATGCCATCATGGCCAAAGATGCTCACTCAATTGGCATAGAATCTGAAAAGGTCTACAGAAAATGCTGCATTTGCAGATCTCTGTTTTCACAAGGAAAGTTAGGGGTGGATACTGCCACTTGCTAGTAGCTGATTAGCCGTGGTTATGTTCCTCTCACAGGAGACGAGACTGGCTCAGGAACCCGGGAAATACTGATGGTGCATTGAAATGGATGAAGGAGCCATTTGTGGCTTCTATAAAGTGTGTTACTTTCCAGAATCAGCAAGGTTTGAGGTCTTTAGCTGGGGAAGAAAGTCTTTCTGTAACTCCATTATGCTCTGTTGTTAAAGTTGTCGTCAAAGAGGCCAGGAAGCTCTTTTGAAGTTCAAAGGAGCGTAACATTCAGTGCATAATATTCATGCAAATATGGGACAAATGAGCTCAAGAGTTTGCCCCTTTTGGCAGTTCTAACTTAGGTAATGAACTATTGATCAAAGTGAGGTGGAAGAATTGAGTTGTTAGGAGTATTCAATTATGTATTTCAAAAGGACCTGCCTGTGCCAAGTCTGGCAAAGTTTCTAGGGAGAGAGATTGTTCATGTATTTCATGGAGTTCATTCCTGCTTTCTAAGGTGAGTTAGCTGGATCTTCTCGCTCATTATTTCTCTTCAGGAGAAAAGCTTCCCACATTCATATTTTGCTAAAGATGGGCCTCCTGTGGAGCCTGCCTGGAGCTTCTCTGTTGTGAAAACCAATGAGAGATGCTTGCGTTTTCCTCTTCCAGATTCTCACTTGGACATTTGAGGTGATCACTGGATAATAGAAAGAAGCAAGCCAAAGAGTAGACCTATTCGCATCTTCAAAGCTTTTGTAGTAGAAGTAGATGAGAGAGAGAATACTTTACATTTAGATACCTCAATGCTTTTAAAAGTACATTCTTAATTTTTTATGTTGAGATGCCAGTGGGATTGGGTATGGAGGCTCTGGTGTTGGCTTCGATCCAAACCCCTGCTTTGTGACTTGCTTCTATACCTTGGGAATGTGACTTAACTTCCCCAGCTA